TACTAGTGCTAGATTTTATCGCATATTACGTTCACCCTCATCAAGTTCTTACATGAAATGGTAACTTAGTAGCTGGGGCATAATATATTTGAGCAAAATGCCTGGTACATAGAACATGTCAGAATTACCAAGGAGGGAAATCTGGCGGTAGGGGGCATGTTCTCCCCATGCCATCCACACAAACATTTTTACTTACAATATTAGTGGAATATAGGCTATAGTGACAAAAAATCTTATCTTTATAAAAGGAAAGGATGTCAAATGTATTAGAAAGGAAATATACCTGATCCTTTACTTCTGTCAGTCATTGCGAAAAGGAATATCTGGCTAACAGCTTCTGCCTGCACTGTCCGCCATAGAGGCCATTTTGATTACCGTGGTTGTCGTTGTGTTGTTGTGTTGCTGCTCCAGTCACTGATCAGCGGCTCCAGGAAGACTGCGTCAAAAATGAACGTCATTCCCCAAGCTCCCCCCGCCCCCTTCAAATTTGTGAAAAAAATTTCCAGCCTCCCCAATATAAATCCGACCCTAATTTCATCAATTTTTGAAAAATATAATGGTTATGGATATAATATTTGAATAATTCCATCGAAACAAATGTACTTACATAAGCTAATTTTTTGACCTTCATATGCCGAGTCAGATGCTCATGCGAGAAAAGAAATGAGCATTTCATTGGCTCAAAACCCCCGATCATTCTCACTTCCTCCCTGTTTATTTGGTATTGAAGAGAACTCGAAAATGTAAATGATTCAAAGAACACTGAAACAGAAAGGCAAACTGTTCGACAGACTCCAGTAGAATACTTGCTCAAGTAGACTGAGAAAAGTACGTTTACTTTTGCTTTGATGAAAAACCATAAACCAGGGCGAAATGCTAGTAAACCCTATTTTCTTGTGATTGTTGTCTTTGTTCTCGGCACGAGGCTATTTTTATTTTCAAAATCTCTGATAGTGCAGCAGATTCCAGGTCGAATGCTTGTTTTGTGATAAAAGCAAAAAAATTGATGAAAGTAGATATTTTACACGACAGGCCTAAAATAAGCGTGGATTTGACTCACTTTGTGGAGTTGTAATTAAAATTGTGGACCTGTAATTGTAGAAAGCGTGGATTTGTTAATAATACATGTTCTTAAAAGTGCAGCATGAATACCAATCGAAACGCCTAAGAAAGATTTTTTTCAATTCGAAGTGAATGCCCAAGAAAGCAATAAGAAATAAGCTATGAATAATAAAGAAGAATCAAGAAACTTCAGAGCTCGAAGCTTCAGTACATGCGGAGAAAAATCAATTGCGTTTTACGATATTGTTGTGTGCTATTTTGAAGTAAGATGGACTCTGTATACAGCTTTAACTTCAAGACATCATCTCAATTAAGTTTGCTTTTATGACTTGCTTCAAAAAAGACACTGAGCGTTAAGACCAAGCCCGAGATTATGATTTCCTGCCCGTAATGTATTTTGGGGTTTTTATGTGATATCTTTCAGAAGATTTCAAAAAAAGTTATAAACCATTTCAACTAAGGTGTTTTAAATTGGAGAAGCATCTGAAAGATTCCTCTCAAGGCTACAGTAGCTGAACGATGATAAGCCTCTTGGTGGTAGCTGGGAGGAACATTCAATTGGGAATGTTGCATAACAGGGCCTATAATCCTCCTCAACTTTTATGCGTTATGTTTATGAATAAGGACAGAAAAAAGCAAATATTTTCTGAAAGGAGTGGTTTCCGGTGTTTCAAAGGGCGTGGTCGTAAAAAATTTAGGGGCAAGCCTGCTAGTCCCGTTGCAGCCACTCCCTTGTGGGCTGGTGCCAGTGTGACCTGATCTAGCGTAATATTAACATTACATTGGCCAAAAATCGTCATTTAGCATAAAATCTAGCATAATTTGGAATTTAGCATAACTCTGGCATAATTCTGATATTATTTAAAGAAATATTGTTTCCATTGATCCATTGTCTATCGTTACCAAATGGAAACACTTTACACCAGCATCTGTGGTTTCATTTAGGGGTAAATTGTGACTTTCCACCTTCAGAATATTGCCAGTTGTTTTGAATGGTTGGAAGTCACATATTTTGTGGTTGGCAGCCAGATGCAGCCAACTAAACGCAGTATACAAAAAAGCTAAATTTTTGCTAATCATTGGGAGTGATACCGTAATCAAAATTTGCTTTGTAGGTTAAAAAAGTTTTCACTTGCTTTGATCTAAAACTGTCTGTTATCTTTTGCTTTGTTTCATCATTCATCATTTGCAATTTTGAAATAACTATCTTGAAAAATTGAAATAATTTTTTGAATACTATCTGCGCAAAAATTTTTGTTTCCTTTGCGTTTTCGTTGTTTTTTGCAACATGCTGCCAGAATTCAGCCAAATTTTGCTTCTTTGGCCAAATCAATATATGACGGCCAAAGGGTTTTGAGAAACTGCCAAAATAGAGAAATTGGCCATCAAACCATGGATCTAAATTGCCTTTTTGTCAATGAAGAATGAGTACACTGGGTTGTAAAAAGACCAAATTGCAACTCTGGCCACTTTTGATATTCTGAGCATGCATTAGCCTCTTTCTCGAGCAGGGTTGCCTTGATTTGAAATCTAGCATAATTTTTGCAAATCTAGCACAATCTTATGACAAATTTGGCGTAATTCAAAAATTGAGAAAAATTGAAAACAAGATGGGGGTAAAGATCAGGCTTTCAAACTGGGCGAAAAGAGAATAAGAAGAAACAAGCACAATTTGTACATCAGTGAGAGAAGAGTTTATTTGCTATCTGTAACGAGGTTTTCATTTAAAGTATCAAAACTTTTTGAAGAACATATTTGATGGCGAAGAACTTGATGGGCTGAATGCAGTTAAGAACTTTCCATAAGTAAACAAGACTTAAGAAAGCTTCACCCAGCTTTTGTCCTGGACATCGCAGCAATCCCTAATTCTGTCGAAGCAGAGAGGCTGATTTCCACCAACAACAAGAAGCAGGTGGGGAAAGCAGCATAGCCCCAGAAAACTTATCAAATAGATAAATATTGCAATTAATATGTTTGATCTCGCAAGTTTCGAGTTCCGAGAAAAGCTGCAAAGATATGGCTCCAGAAAACCAAAAAATACCAAAGTCTGGAAAGCGAGGCTGATTTAAGGGAGTTTTTGAAGATGAAAGGAAAAAAATAACTTTGACAGAGATCCGAACAAACCATGTAAAAGAGTTTCTTTTCGATAACTTTTTGCTCACATATTAAGACATCGCTATATGTAGCTAATCTTCTTATTAACCCAATCCATATAATGTAAAGAATCAGCTTTTGCTACTTATACTTCATTCATTTAGGAATTTGCCCAATTAGGACATGCTATTTGCACTATGATGGCAGTTTCTATATTTACCACCCCCATAACGCCAATCCCAGCAAAGTACCACGCCCAGTTTTTATAAAAAATATGGATCTGTAAAAATTTCTTATTTTAGGCCCTGTTACACGATAACATTATTAGATATTGACCCATTCCGAAAATTTCCGAAAACTTTCTTTAGGCTGGTGCCCAGTCACCAAACATGAAGGATTGCTGTAATTCAAATTACACGAATATTCATTGCACGTTCTTTTATAAAGAATCTAGCTCAAGATTTCTGAACCACTTTTAATCGAATTAGAGTACCAACAGGGGCGGATCCAGAGCAAATTTGAAGGAGGGGCAGTTGGTAGTGGGGGCACTGAAAATTTTTCAGAAATTGATGATGAGTGTACGCTGTATTCACTTTGTAAGGAAATTTTTCACAATGATTGTTGTATACTTGAGGAAATCCTTGAAGTAAATTAACCCAAAGTCTCAGAAACTTTTTCACCTGCTTCTCACTCTTCAAAAGGGGCGCACAATTTCCAAAAAGGGGCGCTAGACTTGCTTCAACTTGGTGAGGGAGGGGCAACTGCCCGCTAGTTGCCCCCCCCCCTAAATCCGCCACTGAATGCAAAAACTTCATTGAAAGCTTTTTAGTTTTAACTGCACTTTTTGTGCCATAAAAATATCATAGACTATAAGAAAATCATGAAAACTGAATTTTGCTTTTAACTGTAGCTCGAAAACAAGGCAAAAAGACAAAAAGGGCGAGAAAGAAAATTAATAAACGTAAAACTAATAGAGAGAGGGACAATGTCTACATTCATATTCTTAAATTATTCTTATTCTTAAACTCTGATAAGGTTTCAGTAGGATATCGCTCAATCTCAAAAAGAAAAAAACTTTTTGAACAAAAACGAGAGATTTCATTATTGCGACTCTCTGTTATGAACATTGACAAACAGGCAGCTGCTAATAATTTGAAAGAAATATACGATTTGAGTGAGGCTGAGCAATATTCTTATGATATTGTTGAAATTAGACGATTCTAACACTAAGTATTCTTTAAAACAATATTCTTTATAAAAATGTGTTACAAACAAAGACATCAAAGCCGAAAACTAACTCAATAGAGCACTTGATTTATCTACAGCACACTTTCTGTGAGATGCGAACTGGCGTTCTAATTCTTGATTTTTTGCAGTCATTAAAATACTCCAAATTGAAAGCTCCTTAGAGACTTTTTCTTTAGCAGTATACGTTCTTTAACGTTCATAGTCATTTATATGTAGATTTCTTATAAAGTGGTACCCTGGGTACTAGACTCACATATATAAATTTTGTATAGTGAGTCTGGTTCCCAGGGTAATAAAGTAGCTCCTATTAAAAAGAACCTTTTTTACCCAATTAAAAGAAAGTTAAAAATATACTAAGGAATAACTGAAAACACCTTCTATAAAGCTGAAAAAATCTTAATGTATTTAAAAATCATTAATATTGTTTTAAAGTCGTTTGCCCCTCAACTGTGTCAATAAAGGCTACCATGAAAGGCTGGGTGGTGCCATGACCCCCTGCACACCCTCTGCTGACCCCCAATTTGCTGACATGACCGATTTACGGCCCTGTTAACAGTACTAAATAATTTCAGAGGTAAAATGAGATAAAATATCATGGATATTTTGGAAAATAACTTTGATCTAAAAAACAATATTTTGTAATTATAACTTTGATTTAAGTAAATATTTGAGAAAATAGTCTGTTCTACTATTTCTTCCGATTATGTTATAAAGAGTTAGAGTTGTGAAAATAAACAGCTCGTCTCTTTTCTTGAAAATTTATCCAGACTCTAAAAAACAAAGTGGAATAGTCATTTAAAATACTTATTCAGTAAAGGAACTATTGAGGCTGTTTCGAGACCAGTCTCTTCCTTTCCCTCTCTTGTTCTTATTTTCTTTGACTCTCGAATGCTCTGGTCTGCATGGCAACTATAAATGGATATTCCAATAGAAGATAAAAATCCAAAATTTTGATAAATATTCGTAATTAGGATGATTGATGCTAATTGACGATACTTGATTAATGATTGCTGAAGGAGTTTTTATGACTGAGGATGGTTATTATGATTGAGGTGGCGAAAATACTTACGACGAGCTGCAGCAATAACTTTGCATGTCTTCCCATTTGGCGTTATATGAAATCCATTTGGGCATTTGCAAGAGAATCCTGTGCCATTTTGCATTTTGGCAATCAAGCACAAATGACTGCAGCCACCGTTGTTATTCCCGCACGGATTGTTTCCTGCAATAGTTCGATCGCAAATTACTCATGTTGGATCATAAATCATTTCCATTAATTTGTTTAACTGAAAGATTCTAAAATGAGCATTTTATGGATTAATTTAACATTTCTGATTTCAATGTAAAAGTTTCTAATCGCATATCTTCATATGACAGTGAAATTTTGAATCTGGCGGCAATCTTTAGAGCAAAGACTCTAAAGATTCTCTTGAAAGCAACTTCTGTATTTCAACTTATTGAGCCAACCTGTTTAGATAAATCATTAATATCAGAGTTCATACTTTCATTATAGTTCAATACAATAACAACAGGCATGTTATGATAAAATGAGAGTAAGAGAGTAAAAAGGTTCATTCCATGTCCCTAGGTGATAATGACTAATCGTTTAATTAATAGGTAACACACCTCCTTCCCCTCCTAAATTTTCCATTCATTTGTAAATATCAAATTTTTGCTAAAAACGCAAATATCTAGATCTAAAAAAACCCGGACTGGTGGTCAATATAAAAGATATTCGTTTGTTAAATATCCATGATACCAAGAAACTTCTTATTTAAAAAACTTGCCCATAATATTAGCTGCTGTGGACTGATTCTCGTGTCACACCCCCTTAAAGAGAATTAGTTAATTCCTAGTAGAGCGATACTCAGACCAGATTTTTGAAGAGCATGACAGTTTTTGTCACAACCTGAGCTATTGCTACCATATACGCCGAACTTCATCTTTCCTGGGGTTGGATCAGGACACAGAATGGAGCTATTTTCTTGAAAAATAATTAATATCATGGCAAAATGCTCATTATACCATTTGATTCCAATAACTGTTGTAAATAACTGTAGATGCACAAGAACGTAATTTGGACAAAAACCATGACCCCTTATAAGGAAACGTATAAACTAACATTACTGTCCTTTCTTGGAGACCTTAAACAACGACAGTTAAGGCAGAACCAGTATCACTATTGCAAAAGAGGAGGGTTGCTAGGCAAATGTAACATAACACAACAAAGTATGAATAAAACACCAAGATGTATTTAAAATGAACGAAAAAGCGTCAAGCAACTCATAATATCTGCTCATAATATTATTTCTAGATTTTGTAGCATCGAATAAAATTCAATTATTCTGTATGCCTTTTAAAGACGACTTACTTTAGAAGATAGACAAAACCAATTCAATGCAGGAATACGTACAGGACAAAAAAGGAGACATGATTATTATGAAAACGTTGCTTCTTACCAAAAGGCTGCCTAGAAGGATGATACACTTTTATGTCCATTGGCGTATAACGAGTGCGAAACAACTGGGAAAGACTGTGAGATGGTTTGGTTTTACTGATAACCTGAACAGACCTCTGCTGCCAGTCTGTAAAAAAGATCTCCTGCTCAAAATGAGTTAGAGCGAACGGGAATTTGAGGCTGTTAGTCAGAATCTTCCTCTCACTGCCGTCTAAGTTTGCTACCTCAAGCCTCTTAAATTTTGCATCCACCCAATACATTTTATTCTGTGCATTATCAAGTGTCAGGCCGTTTGGCCAAACAATATCTTTTGAAATCACTTTCTCCCTTGTTGCAAGCTCACCATCCATAGAAATTCGCTCGATGCCTGCCTCTTTTCCCCAGTCAGTCCAATAGAGATAGCTGCAATGTGAATATGTTATTAGTGCATAAACACACAGAAATGGATCGTTTGCTTGTTACAGGTAAAAAAATCAAGAAAACAAAAAAAGAGAACAGAACAGTTAAAATTGCATTGCTGTTCAAGCAAAAGAGTACGAGTATGATATCAAAAAAGAATAACTTACAAGAATATAAATTGATCATAATATTTTCTAAACATAACTCTACTTTGAGTGTAATCAAAAGTGTAACTCGAAAATCGTCAGTCTCATCAACACCAGTGTAATCATCACTATGGTCTGTATATTTTATGTTATATTGAGACAATATTTTTTAAAGATATTCAATTGTTACAGATAAACTAGCCATTCTCGTACAAAGCTCTAATTTATCAACCATACAATTTACAATCAATAGAATGATCTTCATTTCGTTCAATCATTCTGAACTCTCCTCTCCAGTTGTCCTTCATTCTGTTCAACAACAATAAGATCTTCTTTGTCTACTTTACAACCTGGCAAATTCATACTTATTGAGTCTCGCATGTTGGCAGGTAAGGCAGCGGCAAAAATACTTTGTATTTTGGAATGTTCATAGCAACAGCATAAAAAACTCAAAAATTATTTTAATATTTCATGCACTTCTAGCCCAATTGGTTATTAGGAAAAGCCTTTGCATTGCCTTAAGTTTTTTTATGACCATAAATTATATTAGTATATTCATTGAGAAAATGATGGTCAATTGGGACCATCCAAGATTCTGGGCAATCCACGTTACTATTTGCAATGTTTCAAACAAGTTATTGGTGCCGTGACCCGGGAAGAGATGATCTAATACAAGGGTCTATCCAAGGAACAACGAACCACTTTTTGTGCATTTCCGCAGGTATTGCTATTGACCAAAGTGATTTGTGAAAAAAGTGTTCGGTACACTTTTAATTTTTGTTTGTTTTTTCCTGTACAAATATCCTACACGGTCTGATTGGTATCGCATGAAGCACGTTGGCTTTGAAAACAGCAGAGTTTGAAAACAGCTTTTCATTCTTGGCTGCCTTGCGTTCTTTTCTTAATATATTTTCACACGTTGTTTGCTCAGTAACAGTGGCTTCTTCCAAATGGGTTTCGTCTTTACTGACCAAATCATTCGCCGCTAATTGAAAAACTTTGATATTGTCGATTTGTTGCGAGGTTTAACGGCGGTAATCTTCTCGCAAGAGAGTTTATGCACACCCAGTTCATGATTATCAGCAAAAGCATCTTTCCAATAAGGGCACTTCTTCTTCTTGGTTGTCTGCCGCGGTAGAGGTTCAGCGTCCCAAACCCCAATAATCCCAAATAAAAGCACACGACACATTTAATAACGTACTTGACGTCAACTTCATAGTTTATTTCCAAACCAGCTTTTTTTTATATCTGCAATACTTGCGAAAAGTACTTGGAACACCCAAGCAGCTCAAGCCGATACTCGATCCAATTTTAAATTAGGTCTTCTATTCCACAAACAATGATGGAAGTGCACCCAAGCCACCCTGGTTTCAAAATCACATGTCATGCGAATGATTCAAAATTGTTTCAAAGGAAGAGAGGGGAAACAGCAAATGCGAAAGCGTGATGTAAATATGACGAAAAATGACGAAAAAAGCCTAATGTTTTTGAGCGCTTTTGAGCTTGATGCATGACAGAACACTCGACAACAGAACCCTGAAAGCTGACGATTTTTGTTTTTTCTTTGTCTAGCTTTTTCAACACCAAGACGAAATTCACTAGTGCAATTGAAGTAGAACAATCACTTTTCGTTGACATTAACTCAAAGAAGAATTAAGCCATCCGTCAATTACATTTTTAGTTGAAGAAATACTATAGGAAATTTAAAGTTTGATGATTCCACCTAAAATTTCTTGTCGTTCTTTTCTCGTTACTCAAAAAAGTCAGACAGATAACAAGTCAAATTGTCGCTGAATTTTTAGCTATCACTTTCATTGGTTTATAAATTTCAGCAATTTCTAGACTCACTGCTATAAGAATTTATTCTTATAGAAATTGTGTAAGCCCTGGTATTTTATGGAGGGACAGTTCCCAGGCCTACAGCCGGAATCATCCATCTCAGATATCTAGAATGTTGATGCGTATACATTTGGAAGAAATCTATATATAAACTTCGATAAAAAGGAAAAATGAAAACAACGTATAAACATAAAAGCCCAAATCAGAGCAACGTTTTCTGTTGAAAAGGTATCTATTCTCGACATTTAAACACAATAACCTTACCCATTCTTAGGATCACAGGCAATAGCTCTTGGTTTGCTGCCGGCCGTTAAATGTACCAAATCCATGTTGCTGGTACCATCCATTTCAGATACTCCAATTTTCTTGACACCATTGTTGGTCCAGTAAATCTTTCTTCCGATCCAGTCAATAGTTAAGGTTAAAGGGCTACCTAAATCTCTAGCTATTACCTCAGTTTCGTTGCCAAGATCAACGCGAGCTTTGTTTATAGTGCCAAGCCGTAAATCACACCAATAGACGTAATTGTTGCCTATGTCTAAATCAAGTCCAACAGCACCTTGCGAACCACCAGCAACACGTCGGTGGTCTGTGGCCTTGATTGCAGCACTCTTTATTTCGTTTCTGTTTGAAAATATCAACCTTGGGGCAACTGTAACTGAAAAAGGTGATAAATGTATTCAGGTAGCAGTTGAGAATGCGATGGACACCCAAGCTAGTGGTTTTCTACTTTCATTTCTGCGACATCGAATAAAATTGATTTTACGAGGTCTATAAATCATTCGTAATTTTGTCAATAAAACTGTATCGTTGTTTAACTAATACCCCTTTGAAATATGAGCAAGATTTGATACAATAAAAAAACGACTTTGTACAAGAAATGAATACTTAGTACGACGTTTCAAACATATCTCTTCATCATAACTCTTCTTCATTATTCTTTTTCATAACTATTGTTCATTTTCGACGAACAACACTCATAACCTCATTGATTATCCTTTTGAGATTTGGATGTCTAACTTCAAAAACAGAACATATGTTGCAAAACTAAATCGAGAGTAGCATGACTACTGTATCTTTGAAATCCGGTAAACAGATATTTGGCACAAGCTTAATCGAGTATGTGAATTTCCTATGGTATAGTAAGAGATGATACTTCAAGATCCTTTGTGAATATTACATAAATGCTTGTAGCCATGTTCTACTTGTCTTCTCAGGGCACTATCACTTAGTGATGTTGCTAATGCTACTGTATGTTTTTAATGTGTACCGTTTTCTTTGTTTGTGTTCAAATGGGGGTAAGCTACACTAAATAACACCCCCTCCCCTTTCCTTTTACTAAGTGCAAGATACACAAAATTTTAATCTTTTTTAACATAAGCCACATACTGTCGCAACTATGCCCATCCGAATTGAGTTGGAAGCCATCTTTGCAGGAACAATTATATCCAGTTTTGAGGTCAACACACTCGTGCATGCAGCCACCGTTGTCTTCAAGGCATTCATTTGTATCAGCAGGCTTGGCTAGAAATGCAGAACGTTGAAGAATGTTTCTATTCGATAAAAATTTGAGGCTATGCAAAGTCAAGCATCATAATAAATCACAATCAATTATCATTATCAGTTACTAACCAGGTGTTGTTAATCATCGTCAATCAACAATCATAATCAATAGCAATCACTTGCCGTCATCCTGAGTCAACAATCACAGTCATCATTAACATCATACATCAGAACAAGGCTAAACGAACAATTTTCAATGATTGTTGATTGATGATGATGGTAATTGATTGTTATTGATTATTACTGATAATGCTTATGATTGTTGATTGATGATGAGGGACGACAATTGATTAGTGGTTTGAATTATGAAGATTGGTGATAATACTTACGACGAGCAACAACTTTGCATGTCTTCCCATTAGGCTTTAAATGAAATCCATTTGGGCATTTGCAAGAGAAGCCTGTCCCATTTTGCTTCTGCGCAATCAAGCACAAATGACTGCAGCCACCGTTGTTTTTCCCGCACGGATTGTTTCCTGCAGAAATTTAATGGCGAAATGTTATCTGTCAAAATCTAATTTCTTTCGTTAACTATAAAAGCCATAAAACATAAAAAAAGTATGCTTGACACGCCATGCATGTTTGCGCAAGTATGTATGCATAAAGATGTGTAACGAGGTTTGTATAAAAACTAGTGAAATTTTAATGGAGAATATTGCCTTGATTTTAAAACAATGCTTTCAAAAATGAATCAAACGATCAAAGCTGTAGTTTCTATTCGTTGAAAAAGTGTTGAGATTCTACTTGCTCCTTACCAGCAGGTTGCTTTAAAGGATGATACACTTTGACAACCATTGGCTGAGCGTCTGTGCGTAAAATTTGCGAAGATGATCCTGGAGATTTGAATTTGTCCACTTTATGCACAGAGTGTGTCCTCCAATTACTCCAATAAAGATAATTTTCAAAATGTGCTATTGCGAAGGGAAAATCAATATAATTTCCAATTATCTTCCTTCCACTGCCGTCCAAGTTTGCTACCTCAAGCCTCTTTAATTTTGCATCCACCCAATACATTTTATTCTGTGCAATATCAAGTGTCAGGCCGTTTGGCCAACCAATATCCTTTGAAATCACTTTCTCCCTTGTTGCAAGCTCACCATCCATAGAAATTCGCTCGATGCCTGCTTCTTTTCCCCAGTCAGTCCAATACAGATAACTGCAATGTGAATGCATCATTTGTAATTTCAAGGTAACTAAAACAGGACGCAGAAGCAGAACCTGAGCGTGAGTGTGAATATCGAAGATAATGTTCAAAACCCGCGGTTTCCTTCATAGACTTTTCATGTGAGCAGGACATGAGTATATTCATAGCTTTGCAAAATGCTCTTCTTCTGCGGGAAAGGCAAGCAGAAATCTTTTGTCGCCAGCGACAAAAACAACTTTCCAGCATGCCAGATATTTAATTCAGTCGCCAGCGCTAGTATGCGCTAGGCATTAGACTTTAAATCCTAGTTGTACTACTACAGCACAATCGATGGTAGCATCAATACTGACAGGACACTGTCCCCTTAACTGAAGACGCACTCAAAAGTTTTTCTTTGCATTCGAAAAATCGATCATTTTTGCAGTCAAACTTACCCACTAATTGGATGACACGCAATAGCTCTTGGTTCGCTTGTACTGGCTAAAGCTACTAAATCCATTTTATTGCCACCGTGCATTTCAGAAACTGCAACAATCTTCACTTTTTCATCCGTCCAGTATATTTTTCTTCCGATCCAGTCTATAGCTAGACCTTGTGGGTCACCTATGCCTTTCAATACTACTTCAAATCCACCTTTGCCATCAATGCGAGCTCGACTGATAGTTTCCCCTATCAGTTCAGACCAATAGATGTAGCCACTTGCAACGTCAATATCTAGGCCAGAACCACCCCTCAAACCACTAACAACAAGTCGCTTGTCTTTGCCGTTCATTTCAGCATTCCTTATGTCGTATCTGCTAGAAATGATCAATCTTGGAACAAATGTACCTAGAAGAGAGAAAAAGCGGCTTTGTATTGTCAATGTGTATAACGACAAACATTGAGTAGAAATTACCTTGCTGGATGTTAAAGGATAACAGAAAGGAAGGTAATGCAACTGAAGGACTATAAAAAAAAGAAGGAAAATACGAGCTTCTTCTTTAGAAGTACAAGTTTCCTTTTCTCTTCACGAAGAAAGTTTCTTCATTAATTTTCTTATGCAAACTAGTGAATAGTTATAATCAAAATGATTACTTGCGGACACAAAAAATCTCATCATAGAACCATAAACATTTGTAGTAACAAACCATTTGCCTTGCAGCTTTTTCTATCTTCTTCCAACTCATAGCCGTTGGCACAAGAGCATTCATGACTCGCACCCCTCTGGATGCAGACTTGATGGCATGTACCATATTTTGCACATTCACCAATGTCTGGATAAGAAAATAGACTGTTTATAGAGCAGATTCGGAAATATAGACGACAACGACTGACAATACCAATTAGGGACATCAGAGTACTGATGAATAAAAAGCACTGAATTAATAATTAAACCTTGAGTAAGACATGTCATTATGCGGGTTTTACTTCTATTTTGTCTCTTGTTTTCTTGCTAGATTTCAAGGACATACAGCTTATCTCTAGAAATGGAAAAGCTCAACAATTTTATACTCATTCTTCATTAGATACCTCAATGTGAAAAATATTAAACCACTTTGAAATAGCGTTTTTAGTGCTTTAAAGATTATTTTAAACTCATCATTTCTGCCATAAAACGATATATTTGTGTGACAAAAAGCTGTTTGAAATACGAAAAGATACTCTGTATACAGAAACAGATGAAACGAATAAAGAACTAAGCAGAGTCATTAATCCAATGGCGAAGATGCACTACCATCCTTATCTACAGAAAGGGATTTATTCAGTACTTTTTCCCTGATCATGATCTCTTCTCTTGTCAGAGTCTAACATAGCTTTGATATATTCGAAAGTGGATAACGTAAGAAATAGCAACGGAAAAAATGTATTCATGTCAACTTCACTAAAGGAGCAGTTTTTCGATTACATCTGCACTAAACTTCACTAAAGAAGCCTTTTGTTTTAACATAATTATATGAAAGTGAACAAGGTTTCAAATCTATAAATGCATGTCACATACTGTCGCAACTGTGCCCATCCGAACTGAGTTGGAAGCCATCTTTACAGGAACAATTATATCCAGTTTTGAGGTCAACACACTCGTGCATGCAACCACCGTTGTCTTTAAGACATTCATTGACGGCTAAAACCAAGACAAATTTTGATGTGAATCAAAATATTATGAATCAACAAAACACTGAAGTCATTTTGAAATCATCAGGTTCATAACGGGAGCAAGATATTTATCATTCATGGAATTCAGAATTTGATTACATTTGTTTAGTTTATACATGAAAATCATGTTCCTCAACTTGCAATTACAAGCACATTTGATTCGTGCACGTCGATTCTTCGTTACAACCTTTGAATAAACAAATAAATAATAAGATTAGTCGTTGTCTGGTTGCATGCTTAAACCAAGTCACTTCTTAGAGATTTACAAGTTGTAAGGCGTGTTGAAAGCTAAAGAGACAAAAAAAAACATGGATTCTTTTTTATGTAAAACGAGCAAGCAGACTAGATGATTCGATCCTTCTGCGTTGGAAGCGTGCTGCGGATTATTTTAGGAAGAGAAATGGAAGTTATCTTAGAAATCATAGAAATTTTGTACGCAACTAAAAGCGAGTAACACCTAAAGATGTCCATTTCGATTAGTATACCATGATCAACCTCTGAAAATTGAGCTGTTTAGTTAAACAATTTTCATTCTTTGGTTTTTTTTCAGGTCTTGCATAGTACACTTGCTGTATCCTATTTCATTTTAGGCTCATTATCCTGATTCTTCTAGAGAACAAATGTCAACGTTTTCAAATGATTGTAGTATGCAAGGAACTGCCAAGAAAGTTCTGCTAAAAACTTTGTCTTAATGGACTCCATGCAATTAAATAGATGGTTGACACCTCAATTTATGTTATTTGAAACAACTTTTTTAACAGGTTTTTACTTTCCATACATAAATATGTGAAATGCCTGATGAAAATTTGTAAACTTGGTCAAAATGATTATCGTGTCAAAGAGCAATAAAGATTATTGTTCACCGCAGTCGGATTCATCTGTTCCATATGGACAATCAGCATTGCCATCGCATTTCCAGGAAACATGAATGCAATCACTAGAGTTTAAGCATTTCCATTCGTTGTCATTACACTGTTTTGTTTCCTTTGTTGATACTTTGCATGATTCTTCATCTGAATTATCACCGCAGTCTGGATCTCCATCGCATCTCCATCTTTTTGGTATGCAAGTGCCGTCTTTGCAAGTGAAATTATTTAATGGACAAGTTGTTTTGCCTAGGAGTATGAGCACAGAACAATACAAGAGCTTCAGTGCAAATCTTACAGGGCCTAAATGTAGAGGTTGTGTCTATTAACAGATATTTTATACAGCACCAGCACAAACAAACCTAGCACTGAAGCAGTGTGACCAGATCTAGCATTATATCATGCTTTTAGCATATTTTTGCCCAAAAATCGTCATTTAGCATAAAATCTGGCATAATCGGAAATCTAGCATAATTCTGGCATAATTTTTACATTATTAAAATAATGTTATAATTCTGTTAATAAGTTTCGGGCCAACTGGGAAAATGGTGGATGTCAAGTATCTGCATGCAAACTTTTAACACCCAATTAACATGAGTGCACCAATTTTGAACCAACAAAGTCCATGAAAAATAAAATGAACCAGAACATTTACACCAGAGTGCAGGATATCTTAGTTAATTTTCCTAAAGATGATCTTGTTTCAAACAGCAAAGATGAATGTTAAGAATTTTCAGCAATTGACATTCTATGAATTGACATTGTTAATTTAAATTGATTGTGCAGGTTTGTAAACTGTTCAACTTGAATCCTCTATTTTTTGAACGTTATTCTGGGTTTTTTGCTATTCTGCACATGCGCTGGCCTCTCCTTCAAACGAGAGAGCCTCGATTTTAAATCTAGCATAAATTTTGTAAATCTGGCATAGTTTTTTGACAATTTCAGCATAATTGCGAAATTGAGATCTGGTCACACTGCACTGAAGCAAGAATTCTCAAATGTGATCCGTGAGAGGCAACTATAAACATCGCATCAATAAAACTTATGATAAAAGCAATGAAAAAAGAAACCATAGATCACCAAGACAAATAACTTCTGATTTGCTATAGGCTGTTATCCAAATGGAGAATGTATATGCGTTTATGAAACAAGAAGTGCTTTCTTCAGTTGCCTAGTATATTTTTATCACAAATAGAATGTCAAAGATATCTTCTTCTTTGAATGTTTTGCTATACGGAGTTATAAACAATAGACTATGGTCAGCTTTAATAAGGCAAAAGAACAGTTGCGTACCACAGTTATATTCGTCTGTTCCATTCGAACAATCGACGCGGCCGTCACATTTCCAGGAAACAGGAATACAAGACGAAGAGTTAAGGCATTTCCACTGCCCATCTTTACACTTTGATGGCATTTCGCAAGGGTCTTCGTCCGAATTGTCTCCACAATCATTACTTCTGTCGCATTTCCAAGATTTTGGAATACATTTTCCATTCTTACAAGAAAACTCGCTTGCTTTGCAAGTTTCACGTTCTGCGTAAGAAGCAAAGAAGCCGAATTTCTCTGAGACATTTAATTGGTTGACAAAAGCCGAATTTCTCTGAGACATTTAATACTTTATTGGTTGACAAAAGAAAACAAACAAAAGACTAGATACTTATAAAAGAAAGTTAGTAATTTGACAAGCCAGATTGCCAGTGCAAGTAGGTAGTTGGTTAGTGAAGAATGTACGAATATAGAGAAAAATGTAACTTAGTAAGAAATAAGTAAACTAATGAGTAAGTAAAGATGTAAATAATAATGATGATTAATTATTTATCTGTAAAAAAACGCAAATACCGAATTAACGAGCACCTTTTTCAGCGTATGAAACTGCCCTTACCTAACAAATTTCATGTTAGTATTACTACTTAAGAGAAAGTGTGAGAATAATTTGCTTAGAGGCCTAGAACCTATTATCCCAATCTAAAAATAGCACAAAGGGGCATTTGTCAGGTTAGGTCCACATCTATCTTTCTCAGCGTATGAAACTGCCCTTATCTACCAAGTTTCATGTTATTATTACTTTTTAAGAGAAAGTGTGAGAATAACTTGCTTAGAGGCCTAGAACCTATTATCCCAATCTAAAAATAGCACAAAGGGGCATTTGTCAGGTTAGGTCCACATCTATCTTTCTCAGCGTATGAAACTGCCCTTATCTACCAAGTTTCATGTTATTATTACTTTTTAAGAGAAAGTGTGAGAATAACTTGCTTAGAGGCCTAGAACCTAATATCCCAATCTAAAAATAGCACAAAGGGGCATTTGTCAGGTTAGGTCCACATCTATCTTTCTCAGCGTATGAAACTGCCCTTATCTACCAAGTTTCATGTTATTATTACTTTTTAAGAGAAAGTGTGAGAATAACTTGCTTAGAGGCCTAGAACCTATTATCCCAATCTAAAAATAGCACAAAGGGGCATTTGTCAGGTTAGGTCCACATCTATCTTTCTCAGCGTATGAAACTGCCCTTATCTACCAAGTTTCATGTTATTATTACTTTTTAAGAGAAAGTGTGAGAATAACTTGCTTAGAGGCCTGGAACCTAATATCCCAATCTAAAAATAGCACAAAGGGGCATTTGTCAGGTTGGGTCCACATCTATCTTTCTCAGCGTATTAAACTGCCCTTATCTACCACATTTCATGTTATTATTACTATTTAAGAGAAAGTGTGAGAATAACTTGCTTAGAGGCCTGGAACCTACTATCCCAATCTAAAAATAGGAAAAGGGGGCATTTGTCAGGTTGGGTCCAAATCCTATCTTTCTCAGCGTATCAAGCTGCCCATATCCACCAAGTTTCAAGCTGGCATCACATTTTGCACAATTGGGCTATGTTTGTATGCTAAGAGCCCTAACTATTCTCACGCGATAAAAATAATTATACTTTGTGGGTCTGGTGAAGCTTTGTATTCCTTGACAATATCTTTACCGCTTAGTTTCACATGATCTGGTGTTTTCGATATGTATTAAATTATTTTCTGTTGTATCACTCGACAATTGTGAAATATACTTGAACATCCTGGAGACGGAGGGACTTGAAAGCAGAAAGTCATAAATGTTTCACTGAACAGTGTACACGTATATCAGAGTCTTTAGAGGGCTATGGAAAACAAGCAAGTCGACATAAGTTTGAAACTAGAAAGGATTGGTTTTGGAAAATTCCAAATTGTTGCTCTAGCGATTTTGTGCCTGAGATACTTTTCGTATTCATCCACAACAAGTCTTGTCGCAATTTTGGAGCCGTATCTTCGATGCCATTGGAGCCTTAGTTACATTAACGCAGCATGGATTGTTCTACCAGAAGCCATTACGAAGATTATAGGATCGATTTTGCTTGGTAAATTGTCAGATATATATGGTCGACGTAAGATTTTGATTCTGGCTTCTGTTGCGAATTCGTATTTGGCCTTACTTTATTCGTTGTCGTCAAGTGTCTTATTGTTGTCTATAATTCGCGGATTTATCGGTCTTGTGTCCTCAAGCACTTTAATTATTTTTACATATACAATGGAAATTTTGCCACTATCTGGACGTAAGTTTATGTCACTGTTTGAACTCGCGTTTTGCCTTGGATGTGGATATGGGATTGTAGTTGCTGGCGTTACATTAAAGTATCTAAACTGGAGATGGTTTGATACTTTTGCAGAAACAATACCAATTGCGTTGTCAACATTTCTAGTCTTTTACTTGCCAGAATCCCCCAGATATCTTTCAGCTGCAGGAAAACGTGAAGAAGCCGAAAAGTCTCTAGAAAGGATAGCTGAAATGAACGGGTGTGAAAAAGGATATGTTCCATTGGAAGAAGCCTGTGCCGAAGCTGAATACCAAGAAGAAGGGGAAAAGAGAAAACTTGAATCTGAATGCAAACTTTCAAGGAGAGAATTAGCAGAAAGAATAGCTTTGCTTTCACTTTTGAAGTTTTACGGAGATGTTGTCTCTGGAACAATGCGTTATGGATCAATGCAGTTTGGTGAAAATTCTGATGTTTTGGGATGTGGAAAATGTTTTCAAAATCTAACGTACAAATACCGTTGGTCTGTGGAAACAGCTGTTTTATTGTCCGTTTTCACGCTTTATTGGTTTTTGAACAATTTAACAAGAAAGCTTACTTTGAAGATTTTGGTTGTTTACCTTGCTGTTTGCCTTGTACCATTTTACTGGCCTCTGCGTGGCTGGCCGCTGCTTATGGCACTAGCATTCACAGTTCTTGGTTCTTCGACACTTAATAATGTTTTGTTAGTTTACAGAGCTGAACTCATTCCTACATCCTCTAGGACGTTTGGATGCGGCTTATCAGACGCTTTTGGTCATTTTGGCTTTATGTTTGGTCAAATCATCGCACTTTACCTGTATCATGTCAGTATTCCTCTGTCTTTTGGCCTTGTGCATGGCCTCACAGTATTGTGCTTTGTTGCTGTGTTTACAGCCCTCATAGAGACAAAGTATGATTTCTTAACGTGACAACGTACATATTTTACTTCTTTCAATGTCGTTTCTACCAAATACTCAGTCAGCTAAAAAAATTGATTCCCAATCGGAGGCCTGAGATTCCCAATGTTTAGTCTTGCATGCATCGCCGTGCATTTAATAGATCTTTGACTCTCAAGTTTAACGTCTCTTCCATGAAAGACCGGGGCTGCGTTCATAACTGTTCTGGCCTTGGGCCAAGGGTTAACGGATACCCCATTTAGAAATAGTTTCTACCATCAAGACATGAACTCAAGGAAGTTGTAAAAGTTGAAAACTGCGTAGAGCACTACGTGGAAAACGTTTCAACTATTGTGATCAAGGAACATGATGTTCAATTAATCAAACTGAAGCAAAATGGCAAAGTTATTGATGGATTTTTTTAAAATTTTAGATTCGTTGATTTGACTACAATAACTTATAACTGTGCACTCTCGTTGTTTTCTGTTTGGGAACTTGAAGCTATAACGTGACATCTTTTAGTCAGCTAAAAAGAAATTGATCAATAAACTTGAGATCCAAACTTGTAATAGAGCATTGCGTAGCAGTAGTGAGATCCGTGTACGACCTTTAATGATCCCAAGTACTTTTCAAGATGCCGTTGCAAGTAGCTACAACGCTCTTCCTAGTTATATCAAACAACAGACTAATTAAAACAAGTTTTGCGCTACTGTTCACACATTCTTGATGAAGAAAGCGAATGAGTCACAGAACTAAAACCTTTTCAACTTATTTAATTTGACTGTAGCTATAATATCATTTTGGTTTCACGTATTTACTTTAAGTTGTAACATGGATTTAATATTTAGACAATTTGGATATGCTCATTTATGCCATATGATAATATTCATATCTTCAGGCATTTTATTCTAGTTAAATTATAGTATTTTGAAATTCACTTCTGTCCAGAATTTTTTCGGTGCCCTTTTCGTTAAAGGATTTCAATGGACCCCTATTGGTTACTGTGACATCGTGAAAACGCCATAAAATTTGCTTGCCATACTGCTCGACCTAATGCAGGAACGAACAAATGATGGTGTGAATTAGGTAGCAAAGATTCAGACACTGAGGTTTAGGATTAGGTTGAACTTACCACAATCTTTTTCATCAGAGCCATCAGAGCAGTCCTTTTCTCTATCACATCTCCACAAACTTCTAATACATTCTCCAGTGTTGCATTGAAATTCGTCGTTTCCACATTCCGCAGATGATGTCTGACGAACTTCTGAAATTGTTGAAGTAGAGTTTACGAGAATTTTGATTACCAAATTTTTCCTGCTCACCTTCTGATTTTAGCAACAGACTTTAAAGGAAGTGGCTCTTTAGATAGCAAGAAGCTTAAAGGACGTGGTTCTTTAGATAGCAAGGAGCTTAAAGGGAAGAGTTTCTTTAGATAGCAAGGAGCTTAAAGGGAAGAGGTTCTATGCCATGATCCAATGTTCCTGCGTTTCCCGTCTTTCTTTAAAGGACACGCTTTTGGCGCCAAATTTTTTTCTTCTTTTAACTTAAAGTAAAATGCTGTATGAGAGTGTCGTTGAAATATTTTTCCTTTCTGATTTCATTTTCCTACTTAAAAACCCTTTTCAAATTATGGCGGGAAATGAATCACGTGACACCGTGACGTAGATTGTGATAATTTGTTATTGCTGCTACTGGTATACAGTTTTATTAATCTTTGTTGTAATTAACAGTTTTTATTAATCTTCAGACATGGACATATTGGTTCCCCTTTTACTTGGACAGTAAAGTACCTCTAGTACAACTTAAGTAAGATTTTTTTACCTGAAACGCAAGGGTACAAAATGTCTTTTGAAGGTGGTACACTCTTTTAAGCAATACATTTGCCTGGAAAGTATCATTTTACAATATTTATCAATTGATTTGCTATGGTTGGAAGCATTACATTATTGTGCATCAATGCCATTTGATGGGAAGGGTGAAGAAAATAGAAAGGGTTTCTACCAGAAGCCCAACAAGTTTAAAGATGGGAAGGGTGAAAAAAAGGATTGGGTTTTGGTGCCAAACCCTTTTTGAGACACCAATTTTCCACATTTAGAAATGAAGCTATTATGTCAAAGATCATTGCAATTTTTAAAAATTGCATTGAATAAAGAATTCAATCACAGATCATCTAGAAGCCAATTGATTTCCTCGTTTAAGCAAAAATTTTTAAATTTTTAACAAAGTTAAAATTCTTTATTAAGCTTTTCAAAAATAAAAAGTTTCAATGACGTCATCAAAATAGCGAATATACGTACCTCGACGAAGAATCGCAATATCAACAAGAATTCGTTTAAGTTGATACCAGGAGCAAATAACCCTGATATTTAGGAAAAAATGCCAAAACAAACAGTAGTCAAACAGAACAGTCTGAATTTAACCAATGAGAGCGTTTATCGCCACAATAACCCATACTTTCTTATAACCCATACCTTTTAAGGTTACGGTAAACGTTTTCTAGATGAAAACATCCATTTTACGATTTTTTCACATCCTAGTAGCCAAACTTTCAAGGCACACATTGATACCATGTTTAACACATTGATAACAGAAATGACTTGACCCGGATCAATAAAATTCCGTTTTCTCCGGACAAAAAATTCTTCTACATACAGGTACAAAAAAGCCATTGTGTACCCAAGGAACCAATCGAATGGCTTTACAATTTGCACACGGCCTGGACAGATGGCGGGTAAGGTAAGCAAAATGTGTCTCAAAATTGTTGTGCTTGCTCTGGTCCGTCTTTTATAGCCAAACACACACTAGCTAAGGATCTGTGCTTTCTGCTGATATAAATCAGATTTTGATACCTCAAATGCAAGGGTACAAAATAGTTCTTGAAAGTGGTACACCCATTTAGGCAATAGATCTCCCTGGAAAGTATCATTTGACAATATTTGCTAATTATATTGATATGGTTGGAATCACAAAACTCTTCTGAATCGAATGATATATAGTTTAATCCGATGCCGTCAACAGTTTGGCTTTTAGAGAGAGAAGATAAATTATTGTGTCAGAAACGTTCACCGTATACCTAAAAGGATGGATTGTCTTTGTAACTTTGTCTTTGTAGCCATGCCAATTGTTAGCGGACGTTGACTTTACGACTCCACATTTTCTTGATCACACAAGCGATAGATAGAATCTGGGGCAGTAATCACAGAAGAACGATGAAGCATCTGGGTTACGAAGGAAGTGTCTCTATGCCTTTTTATACACGTAGTTTCCGTTCTTCTCAGTGTAAACAAAGTCTTCGAAACGAGATCATATCGGGGGACTGCCCGTTGAGTTATGTTTACTCCCTTGTTTCCGTTGAGCCCAGTGAGGTTCATTCACATCATTGCTT